GTGCTCCTTAGCATTCTGAGGAATGGGCTAAACTGTTACCAAATGTCCTTCCCAGGTAAGGGAACAAAGGCCAATGAGTAAACCTTGCAAGAATCCCTCTCTCCTCCCCCCGACCTGAGGTTTTTCACCTTAAAGGTTGTGCTTTGTTTCAACTCAGAGGAGCATTCTCAGTTTCTCTGAGGGAGTGTTGCCGCTGAGCTCAGCTAATAAAGCACTCCAAATTCTTCCTTTCCTCTCGGTGTCTATTGTGTTGTCTATTGTGTCGTGGCATGCCACACAGTTATCTTCAGTGACAGTGAGGCCCCGAGCTCCTCCAGCCACAAGAACAGCTGAGTTCATGTCAGGAAAGCCAGCATGACCAGCTCCTGCAGCAGCAGCACACATCTCCCCTCCAGTTCTCCTTTCATGCTGTTGGCAACAATCCTCAGGTGGGCCTGCCGCACCCAGTACCACTCTGACTCAGTTCAGCTGGGAATTACAAGCTGACCATAGTTAATCCATCACACTGTCTCAAAACCAAAAAACCAAGGGGGTGGTCCCACCAAAAAACAACTCCCCCAAACAAACAGCTGGCACTATCACAAAAAGTCACCTGCAGAGGTCACAGGAACAACCCCAGGCACATGTTACCATCTGATCTTTGAAAGTGGGCCGAGGAAGTGCGGAGGAAGGGCGACCTCCTTAACAAAGTGTGCTGGGGAAGTTGGCTATCCACATGTAGAATAAGTATAGACCCAGCTCTCTAACCCCGTCCTGAACGAAAATCAAAATAGACTAAACATCTAGATGTTAAATCAGAAACTCTCAGGCTGCTGGAAGGTAAACTAGGTAACACTGTCAAAGACATAATGTGAGGACTCTCTGAAGGAACCTGGGGCACACAAAATAGCACTGAGAGTCAACGAAGGGGAGCACATCAAATTAAAAAACTTCTTAACAGAAGAGGAAACCATCACCAGACAGAAGAAAGGACCTACAGAGTGGAAACAATTTTTTTTCTGTCTACTCCTCAAAGAGTTACTATATAGAATAAAGTATTCAAAAAATTAGACTCCCCAAATAAAAGGACCAATCAAAAAATGGACAGCTCAGGGCCAGGGAGATGGCTCAGTGGAATAAGCGCTTCCCTGGCAAGCGCAAGGGCCTGAGTTCAATCCCCGGTTCT